CTTAATCTAGAATAATAATCAACACTATAGAAACATACCAAAATATAAAGAACTGAAGAAGCTGGGTCAGAATGACCCAGAACCGTGACAGGCATATTTATGGGAAAGTAATTGTTTCTCATACATGACAGGTCCTTTCCTAAAGTCATAATAAACACTGACTGGAAAAATCGACTGTTTCTTTGACAGTTGAAGAAAAAAAAAAGAAAAAGCGTTAAGTGCCCCCAGGCGACTTCTGCAGCGCTCTCCGTGCTGTCTGGCGGATAAGCCGCTCGCTGCTGATTGGTTGGAGTAAAAAAAAAGAAAAGAAAAGAAGAGGTAATTGCTTAACAGCAAAAACGATCATCATCATGGGAGTGATCAAGTCAAAGTGAGTGAAGTAAAGGTGACGCATGAATTGGTCTCTAATTGTCGTGTAAAATTTGTCTTATTTGTTACTAGGCAACACTACAGTCTCATTATCAGCAAAGCAAACATAAGAATGAGATTAAACGACCAATCACTGCCCCTCCCATCTTTAACAGGATAAACACACAGAGCCGTTTTCACAGGAGCCGCATGGATTTGTGACTTTCGAAGAAACAAAAGTCTCGTTAATAACATTGATAACGGCTCCTTTTCATTTAAGTGACCAGTTAAGCCACACAGCTGTGACAAAAACAGTCTGACAACCTCAACTTTAATAATATAAATATAAAAACTATTTGTGAATATTTTTCATTGTTAAAGAAACTTTGAAATAGTTTTTATAATGTTTGTTTGGAGTGATATTTTTAATTAGCCACTAGGTGGTGCCAAAGGTAACAATTTTCAACCCTTGAGTTAAACTCAGTGTGATGGGAAAATTTTACTGTAAAATATGGCACAAATATCTGCACATTCAAAGCCAATCAATCACATTTCTGTGATTAAAGGTGCCATTTCCACTCACAGGTATCCGCAGCGCTCCGAGGAAGCTGATGGCCTCGCTGTGCTCCTCAACAATCACGTCTGGCTCAGTGGAGACGGCGCCATTGATGGATGGATCAACAATGGATGAGTCCCGCAAGAGAGGCGCCGTCTCACCAACCTCCTGACTCCTCTCCTGACCACTCTGACACACAAATAAACAGCTCAAGCAGACTTTTTCATGGAAACAGGGGAAAGGATGTGTTGCTTTTGTAACTTACATGATGCTGAGGAGATGAGCAGTTCACGTCTTCAGGTTCTGAAAAGAGAAAGGACGAAATGGGACGGGAGACATTAAATCTTAAAGCTCACTTTGGGGAAGTATTTTGGATTTTGTCTGACAAACGGAAACTCACTCTCAACCAGGAAGAAGAAGCACAGGACCCCAGTGCAGGCGATGATGATTCCGGGGACGATGAAGGATAATCCCCAGGCCGTGGAGACGAAGACTCCCGCAATGAGGGAGCCCAGGATGTTTCCCACTGAGGTGTGGGAGTTCCACACACCCATGATGAAGCCACGCCTGGCAATCAAAACAGAGAAGGTCACGAGAAGTTCTCCTGCTGAAAGTCAGTTTTACAAAATGGATTCATGAATGCTGAGCTGGAGTCTTGAAGCTTGTCAGCATGCCTCTATGTTGTTTTATGCACTGAAGACATTTGGAGAAGTAAAAAGTAGGCAAGAACTTAATTAGGGCTCTAGTGCATTAAAACAGAGATCACTACTGGGGTTTAAATGGGGCCTACTATGCTTTGCTTCTGTTATACATGTAAACAATGAGGCAAATGTATAAGTAATGTCTGTGAGCCACAAATTAAGGCCTAAAACTGTCATGTGTGTGTCAGCTGTCGCCGCTTTTGTGAGTGGAAGGCCAGTAAAAACACACATTTATAAACGTTATGAATTGAAAAATGGAGAAAAGAAAGAGTTTTATCTGTTTCCTGTTTCTCTAGAACTATCAGACACTGTGCAGGGTCTTGGATAAAGCCATCAGGGTGTTTTCCAGGTTTTTGGCTGACCTTTTGCCTTTTTATCTGAGAGAACGTGTGTGCTGTGATGATTCACAATCATTTCTTGTGCTCTCTGATACTCTGAATCCAGGAGCACAAGAGATTTGCAGGACCCAGACAATGGTTAACATGTCTTAGCATGACCACTGGGAGGCAGGAAAACAGGCTTAGCCAGATTACAAATGTACATAAGAACAAGCTGATTGTTTAACTGACTAATAAGCATGATTTTCTCTCACGGTTTGATTAAGGTAAAAAAAAAAACTTAAAATGTTTGTTGATATGGCCAGAAAAGACCTGGTCAAATTGACATTTGGTGAACTTTGCAGGATTTTTGTGCAGGTGCTAGAGTATTCAGTATCCAGTTCTGAAACATGATGTATATCATTCTCATGCACCGCCTGTGCAGGACTTCCAGATGCATCGGTTCACACAGGTTATCTCTCCACTCCAGATCTGTCAATCTGCTAAATTAATTCCAACTGATATGTCTGCCTGAAACTTCATATTGAGATTTTCTTTGGAGTAAAAAAATCATTATGGTCGATACAAAGCTGCAGAGGTGCCTCTACTCGTAAGCTGAGCGGAGTCATTGAGAAATTAATAGAATGACAGTAAAATGATGAGTTTCAATTCTCAAATATGGAGATTTTTCGACAGGTTTACTCTGTCAAAATCCTCGTATTTGTTACTTGTCTGGGCTTACAAAATGATATTTGAGTTGAGTGACAGGTGAGGGATCAGTTTTGTGTTAAAAAGCAGTCATCTGCCAGAAACTGATAACAGATGTTTTGGGGGTTTTTATGTCCATAAATATCCAGGTTTATATTGTTAAATAGTTTGTAGTCAACCTGTAGCATGTAGCCACATTACATGGGGAAAGTGTCACAAGCTAAAGTTATCCACAGTTCAGCCAGCCACAAGCCGGGAGCCTCAGCATGAGCAAAGATCAGAGCAGTGACAAGCTGTGATCGTCAACTAAGTGACAATTATGGAGCTGAATGAAAAAGAGAACAGTCCTGTTATCTGTTTAAGTTAAAATTCCATATGTAAGTGCCTCATATTTACTCCTGATGCTTTTCTTTATTATATAAATATGTTGCACCTGACATATGATTACATATGTCAGGTAAAGGAGGTTTACAGCAATTCCCCTAACACAAAGACTCCAGCAAACTTATGACAGCTTTTGCACACCTAAGTCACATAAAAGCTTATTTTGAACTGGACACCGTGTTCAGACTCAAAGATATCAATAGTTTTGCACTCAGAATTGATGAGGAGTTAATAAGGGAACTGATCGAGAATCCGACCTATAAGCGGAACTGATAAGGGCAGTCAATTAGATCTTGTTAATACTCATCACCTATGTACACATGCAATCTTCTTTTTAGTGTAACCTAACTTCTTTGACTGGCTGAGGTGGACATAATCAATAGCAGCAGTGCAAACACTGACAGACATGTGACTGTTACTATAAACATTGTTCTTTTTTCTGTTCCCTGCCCCTTTCTTTAGTGTATTTTTAGAGCCAATTATATATTCTTAATATGATGTCTGTCTGCTTGCTGTGCTTGTAGTTCTACTTCAGTGAGAACCAGTTGTTCAGGCTCATAACTTTAATTTATGATGTGAGTGTCGTCTGACCTACAACCAAGCCTGGTTTGACAATGTGCTTGTGTTTCATTCTGCTGCCATCAAAAAAAGAAAGAAAAAAGAAGGAAAAAAAAGCTATTTCTAATGCACATTCAGCATGATTTCTCCCCCACTACTTACTTCCCCTTTCCAAACCAGTTGCCAACACAAGCCACCACTGCTGGCCAACCGGTGGTCTGCACCAGCCCGTTCATGACCTGCAGAATGAAACAGAAAGACAACCTGGACTGTGTTAACGTTCTTCATGAAACCCTGTAAACTCCGCATGAAGAGGAAAAGAAGAAGAGATCAAAACAGATTCTCAACATTCCTACACCAAACTGATATAAGCAAAGCTCTGCATGTGCAGTCATGTGATGCAGCTGTGAGTCATGTGATAAGTGTGATCTAAGAGTGACTAAGCCACCATGTGATCTGTGCACGTTCAAGTGGAAAAGCTGCTAAGAGAGGTCTGCACTGACCTGCAGAGCTCTCAGTGGTCACACCTGTAACAGATGCTCAATATCCATACCTAAAGTGCACATGTTAACAGGTTAAAATAAACAGGATCATAAATGAAATAAATACTGTTGACCCAGTTTTAAATACTTCCGGTCACAGATTTCAATTTCTCTATTGCCATAGACGGCTTTTTTTCCCTTACAAACTCAATTCAATTCAATTTTGAGGTAAAGACCTTAGAATAAACTCATTGTCCATTTATTGAATGGATCCTATTTTTATTAAAAATTAACTTTATTAATTTTAACTTTATTTATTAATTGATTAACTTTCCATGCTTTCCTGAGAAGTGCTGATGGAATTTGACTGCTGGTCATGTGACGCGTGTGAAGCTCATGTGATACTTCAGAGGTGTAAAACAATACTGCAATCTGGCAACTGCACAAAGGTCAGAAAAATTAAATAAATAAATATTTTCCTGCATTTATAGGTGGACAAACTCATCTCAAAGATAAGGGTGTGCAGCTTTTCTGCTTTTTATATATCTATAAATCAAATATCTCCAGGTTTTTTAAGCTGAGGTTTCGATTTGTAAGACTTAACCCTCTCCAGGCAGGCGTTGCTGATTTGCAACAGTTAAAAACTAACAACCTGATTACCCCACATACATATTTTATGAGTTTTTTTTACTCAGAAGTACCACTGCAGGACTTGGTTGTGCATTAGCAACAAAAAGTTTAATTTGAGCCTGAGAGGGTTAAAAAACAGAATAAATAGTCTCATTACTGGCATCCCTAATTTATGGGAAGGCAACTAGCCTACGCTGTGGCTGAAGCTAATTTTTTCACTTATTTCTGAGCTAATCCAACCCATTGTTGTGTGATTATTAGTGGTCGAAAGGCATGAAAAAAGCCCTGAAGTGAAATAACACTTTTCTGACAGCGCCTTTGTTTAAGACGAGTGAGAGAAAACATTTCTACAGAGCTCAGCGATCAGTAAAACCTGAGGTCAGCAAGAGACAGCTCATCTGATCACTGCACTTCCCTTATTTTTTCCACCTAATGCAGTTTTTTTTTGTATGCTGCAGTTGTTTCCCGAAATGGACACAATTTGTTTATAGCAAATCAAAGTTTCCTCATTCTCAGCAGAGAAAGAGATTTAAAGACAATCTGTTTAGAAATGTAAACAAAAGGCTTGTGCAACATAAAATAAAAGGATGCAAATCTACTTTCTCTCTTAGACTAATGCAACAGCTAAATTTAACTTTACTTTATGTCACAAATTGAACTGTAAACACAGTGTATTTATGCATAACTCCATCTGGGTTTGTGTCTCTGAAGGAGC